AATTAAGCCAACAGAGCCACAAGGCTTGATTGGAATGGAAACCACAAGACCCTTTTAATATCCAGAACCAGGTCTTTAAGGCTAAAGTTAGCAGTAGAAAAAGATATCTGAAAAAAAGTTAATTATTATTTACCCGAGATTTATTTTTTGATCCTGTCTTGTTGTTTTTTTTAGTCAATAAGAATCAGGCACTAGAAAACATATATAGCATGTAGGTTTCCTGGTCTCTCCACTGGTGGTTACGTGACCTATTTTCTTTGTTCCTAGCCCTTCACTTTCCCTGAAAACAGCAAAAAAATATCAGGAGTTTTCAAAGCAGCAGGAAAGCAGGGGGATTATTTTATTTATGTGAACCCTGAGGCAGTATCAGAACATGGGTGTCTGGTTTATCAAAGTATCTGTGTAGCTAAACTGTTCTTCTGAGCTAAGCCAGAAGAGCTATGTGTAAGCAGGGGGGTGGCAAAATCACTTAGAGCTAAGTGGATTCAAGTCTGTTACTTTGGAACCTAAAAGTCTTAATTTAAGAGGCCTGACTAGCATACGATACAAGACTATTTTAAAATTCCCTTTTAATCATAATTGCTATTATTTGTGAAGCAAACACAATTATCCTGTGTGACAATTAGCCTTTGAGTTTTTCTGAAGGTTTTTAAAGTAGGTCCAGCAGGAAGCAAATAGATATTGATATAGTGTAGCTATGGTTCTAAGCAAGTTCAATAAGATCAATAGAAAAAAAAGTCTGTGATCTGAGATGACAAAAGTCTTATTATTGTTATATAGCAATGCAATTGCATAAAAATGTTTCTGGTTAATTGTGCAAAGTTATGAAAAAGAGTACAAAATCAACCTTGTCTGTGCTAGAAAATGTCCTTTAAAATTGACTGTTCTATTAATTATTTATGCACACCCTGTACTCTTTCTGGAGGATCCGAGTTTAGGTGGTGGAACTATAGTTAAGGGTTAATGACTAGATTAAGAAGAGTGAAGCAATTAAAGAAATGTGGTGGGGTGACATGAAGTGAATCTGAAAGAACACTCCAGTGCCTAATTGGATTAGTGAACAATGATTTGTGAAATGAAGATGCTGAGTGATTGTGCAATGAGGAATGAATCCAGAAGAATGCTCCAGTGCCTAATTAGATGAGTGAATGCTGATTAGTAAAAAAACTGAGTTGAGGAAGGATCTGAGTGAAACCACAAGAGAAAAATAAGAC